CACCAAATTCCACCTCCATGGTTATACTAAACAAATAATCCTGCTTGGTTACTAAAGAGAGCTCACCGCCATCTAATGATAAATAAGAAAACTTGATAAAATGCATCGATTGAGATCTCTAATTTTCTGTTGTTAGTTAACAATTGTAAATTGTTTTAAATTATATTTCATCTATCATGTGTTGATATACTAATACAGTTCAATTCCTGAAATCTTCCGCGTAATGTTTAAGGCACAAAACTTGGAAACATAATTTCCAATCAATTTTTAATCAAAAATTAACGACTTGCAAGCCTTTCTGGTTTTATACTTGATCAAACTTAATTTAAACGCACTGATCAAAATGATTTACAGTCAACTCTCTCAAATTTAGACGTTTCCAGGCAATAAACTGGCAATTATTCTTGCAATGACATGTAATGTAAACTTGCAATGTGAATTGAGGACTACTGATCTAGATTCTGGGCTTTTACATAATCAAGTTAATCACAATAAAAGATGTTTATGACAATTTCAAAGATAAAATAACCTTAAAAACGTAGCGTTTGTGGAAGTTAGCAACGAATTGATATGTGGTTGATGGAGTTTCACCCTTTTTTCAATTATCACTGTTACTACACCAATTCTCTGAATTTGTTTCTAGCAATTATCCGTAGAATACGTTAAATAGAAAGAGCAGAAGGGTTACTAAGCACAAAACGCAGCAGATATAGTCATAATAATTGATTTTAAGATAGTAATAATAAGATAGTTAATATGATCAGAGAAGAGTACAAATCATCCGTTCAGTTGTCGTTCATTCCTAGTTATAAATTTCATCCTATTGTACAAGTTTACTTATGATTCCTTACCTCATTTTAGCTTACATTTACGATTTTGACTTTGAAGATTTTCTTGATCTCTTTGATTGAAATCCTTCGGTGTTGAAATAAATTGAAAATTTGAAAATGGCTTCTAAGGAAAAGGTTGCAATTATCGGAAGGTAAGTAAAAACAGTTCTATTACAGTAATATTAACACAATAACAATTGTTTATCTTCACCGTTGATAACAAATAAACTTTATTCTTATTCTTATTCAGTGGTCTGATTGGACAAAGCTGGGCAATGATTTTTGTCTCTGCTGGCTATCGTGTTCAAATGTATGATAATCAACCGGAGAAAGTCATTACTGCCATCAAATCAATCGTTGATCAACTAAATAACTTGGAATCAAAGAAACTTCTTCGTGGTAATTTATCAGCATCAGAACAAGCTGCATTGATCAGTGGAGCAACAACAATGTCTGAGGTCTTGCAAGATGTTTTTTGGGTTCAAGTAAGTATAAAATTTGACATTTGTCTGAATAGATCTGAATGTTAAAACCTATTGATTCAGTTTGAATAGCTCTGATTGAGAGTTAATAAAACTTGCAATTGAAATGGCGACAATATGTTGTGGAAATATAGTTACTGAGAAAACAAAATATTATAAGATATAAAATATCCTCAACATTAATTATTTGTCTAATTTTGCCATTTTATTTTACAGGAATGTGTTTTTGAAGATGTTGCTCTGAAACAGAAAGTGTTCAAACATATCGATAGCATGCTCAAATGTGACCCCATCCTGTGCAGCTCAACCAGTTTCATACCTCCATCTCAATTTATGGGACATACTAGACATCGATCATCTGCTCTCGTTAATCACCCTGTCAATCCACCTTATTTTGCTCCATTGACTGAATTGGTTCCCTCACCATGGACTAAACCCGAAATAGTCAGTAGAGCAAAGGCTATTTTAACTGAAGTTGGTCAAAAGCCGATTGTGGTTAAGAAAGAGGTTCCTGGCTTTATTATTAATCGTATTCAAGATGCCATTTTTGCTGAGGCTTATCGATTAATCGAAGATGATGTGGTTAGTGTCGAAGATTTAGATGCTGTTATGTCTGAAGGACTCGGAATGAGATATGCTTTCACAGGTCCATGGGAAACTGCTCATTTGAATGCCAATGGAATGACTGAGTATTTTGAAAAGTACGCTCAAGGAATTTTTGATGTTCAATCTACATTCAAGCCAGTCAAGAAGATGGAAGGACCAACAGCTGAAAAAATCATCGAGGCGATGAATAAGAAAGTGCCTTTGGAAACCTTGAATGAAAGACGAAAATGGCGTGATGAAAATAATCGGTTGATACTGAAATCGGCACTGGAAATAAACAAAAAATTTCGATTTTTAGATTTAGCTTCACTATTACAATACAATATTGTAAGTAATAATTTTATATTCCTTATGACGTAACTTAAAAATAGAACTAGTAAATGGAATGTGAATAGTCTAGACAAAACTAACTGAATAAACTTCAAAGATATTCATACACAGCGAGCAATGGATTGACCAAGGATCTAGTGTGATGGATTTTTTGTTATGATATTATTATAATATTATTAATATTATGGAGGATCCTCTGTGTAACATTTTTATGCTCAATTTTGAAGACGAAAAAAACTAAGCTTTATCTGAATTGTTATGACTTTTAACCGACGTAATATAACTTCACCTCTGGACAATACTGGCTGTCCAAGATACATAATACAGTAGGGTTACATTTTAATTTGATAGTTTATTGTTAGCATTACCTATTGTTAAAAGCAGTTTAGAGTCATTTCGATGTAATTTTTTAATCGTTTTAATCCAAATAGTCAAAAATTTAGTCGAGACGAAAGCGAAA